TTACCTCGGATTTGTGAGCGTCAGCCTGGGATGTTTCCAGCGCGGCTCTCCGCTCTCTCAGCTCTCTCTGCACCGAGTGCAGCTCGAACGTGTCCTCACCTGCACTCAAAGGTAGACACACATCCGCCATTAAAGCAAGTAACCTACTTATCCATCCAGCCATCATTTATTCAACCATCCATCCGTCCGTCCGTCAGTCCATTCATCCATCAATCAATCTATCCATCTTTGCATCCATCCATCATCTATCTATCTATCCATTCATTTATACATCTATCTGTCCGTCCGTCCATCCATCCAATCAATCTATCCATCTTTGCATCCATCCATCCATCCATCCATCATCTATCTATACATCCAACCATCCATTTATACATCTATCTATCCGTCTGTCCGTCCATCCAATCAATCTATCCATCTGTCCACCCAGCCATCCATCCATCTATCATATATCCAACAACCATCCATTCATCCATCTATCTATTCATACAACCATCCACCATCCATCATCTGTCATCCATCCATCTATCTATCCATCTGTACATCCGTACATCCATCCAATCAATCTATCCATCTTTGCATCCATCCATCCATCCATCCGTCATCTGTCCATCCATCATCCATCACCTATCTATCCATCTGTCCATCCATCCATCCATCATATATCCAACAACCATCTATCCATCCATCCATCCAATCAGTCTATCCATCTTTGGATCCATCATCTATCTATCCATCTGTCCATCCATGCATCCATCCATCTACTTATCTATCCAACCATCCATCCATCCGTCCGTCCATTCATCCATCAATCAATCTGTCTATCAATCTATCCATCTTTGCATCCATCCATCCATCCATCCATCATCTATCTATCCATCTGTCCATTCATTCATCATCTATCCAACCATCCATCCGTCCGTTTGTCCATTTATCCATCAATCAATCTGTCTATCAATCTATCCATCTTTGCATCCATCCATTATCTATCTATCTATCCATCAAACCATCCATCTATACATCTATCTGTCCATCCATCCAATCAATCTATCCATCTTTGCATCCATCCATCATCTATCTATCCATCCATCCATCCATCATCCATCCATCCATCATCTATCTATCCATCCATCCATCCATCATCCATCCATCCATCATCTATCTATCCATCCATCCATCCATCATCCATCCATCCATCATCTATCTATCCATCCATCCAACTGGGTATTGCGATATCTGAAGAAAGTATACTCTTTTAATACTTGTGTCTGAACATTTGTCTGAGTAAAATTAAGCAGCCACAACATGTGTGTAGAATAAATTCACAAGAGAGAAAGACCTGAGCTTTAGTGAACAGCCTGGAAAGATCAAACCTCAGAAGCTGCAGGAATGTCTTTGTGCTGCTGCAACACTATTCCAACGAATTGCTTCAATGCTGAAACTTTAATGAAAGCAGTCGATTCACACAGTTCAACGAGTGCTGATTAAAGTAAATGAAGGGCTCTCAAGGTTGTGTGCATTAATGATACAGACTCTCACCATCTCAATGCCCATGGCTCTCATTTGGTCGGTTCTCTTCTCACAGACCGATAAGAACTTCTTGGGATCAGACAGGGCATCTGCAATCGCTGAAACGAGAAGATCTCACAGCATGAAAACACTGAGACTTAAGACGAAACTCATGCTTGTTTTTACACAAAGGCCTCTAACCTCCGAAGCCATCGGGCACGTATGTTTTGAGGATGATGTTGCAGAAGACGGTGGCCAGGGACAGAGGTTTGTTGTACTCGTTTCGTAGGGAGATGTGCCTGTAGTTGGACTGCAGTCCGTCCAGCGGGAGAATGCGCTGTCCTATCAGCTTATTGCTGTCGTCGTACACGGCCACGCGCAGCACGGCGAGGTCTGGGAGGATCACCTGTGGGATCGGGGCACTGGTGTGTTATTTATTCTGCTTGTGTTTTTGACAGAGGAAAGAGTTTCAAAAGCAAAAACGAGAGACACAGAGACCTACACTGGAAAAAAAAACACACTCAGAAATCGTTAGTACATTTCAGAAATAGTTACAAAGAATCGGCAAGTAACACACTGAATTGTACAAAAAAATATACAAAAATTATATATTTTGAAGTAGAAAGACTAAAATAATATTTTCTTGTAAAACATGCTCCAATAATCTTTATTTTAATTAAAAAATAATAATTTTACAGCGTAGAATTCTAAATAATAAATTGTTCATGACATTTTTAATCAAAAAATATTCAGTATTGTTTTTCCTTTTTTCGTGTATTTATTTATTTAGGTTTAATAAATAAGTAGGCCTGCTTTTTTTATGTATTTTTTTATTTATTTGTATTTTTTTTATAACTGGGACCTTAGCATTTTGGAGTTTTTTTTTTTTACATTTATGTTTGCTTTATTGATTATAAAATTACAATTCATTACAAAATATGTTAATGCAAATGTAAATTGCAATGTCTCAAATAAGACATGGGCTTTGTGTTTAGTACAATCTGTTAAGAAGGATACATAATTTATGATTTCTGAGTCAGATTGATTGATTGGTTGGTTGGTTCGTTGGTTGGTTGATTGATTGATTGAGTGATTGATTACAACACTGGCCACAATTTTAGTTTAATAAATAAATAAGTCTCCTTTTTTGATACTTTCTTTTCATAACTTGCACCTCAACATTTTTGTGTGCATTTTTTACATTTAGGTTTGGCTTATTCATTATTTTATCATTATTTATATATTCATTTACTTATTATTTATTCATATTTTTTCCACACAAGGAGATTTTCTGAAAAAGATTTCTCCAAAAACGTGAAATCTTAATCATGTTCAGATTTTAAAAAAGAAAAGAGAAAAAAAAGCCACATCTAATGCAGCAAAAATGTCTCATAAAAAAACCTCATCGCACAAACTATACACAATTGCCAAAGCCTTGGAGAACAAATGAAAAAAATAAAAATAATAATAAAATAAAATCTGAAAAATACATAAGAATGAACAATGAAATAATAATAATAATAATAATAAATTATATTAAGATAAAATAAGTAAATAATATTTTGATAATCACAAAAGCAGAGTGTGAATGTTTGTTTGCTGTTAAATCTACACAAAAACAAATGCATTCAAAAGAGCTTGGATCCCAGCTAAAGATCTCTCTAAAGATTTTAGCAGCAATTAAAACTGCAAATATCATTTTCCTAAAGGTCAAATTAGTATTAATACTTCAATTAAACTGGGTCTGTTCCTCACACAAACCCATTTTACAACTTATTATAGACTTATAGAATTGAATGTGCAAGACTAGTTAAACTCCAGTTAAAAATGTAATTCCTAGATGAACGGAGTCTCTCCTAGACGTGCAGACTTATACTGTACTTTAGTGCAAAACCACTGAGGTTTTACTGTAAAGGTAGTGTGGATAATTAGACGTTCAGCGGCTTTCATAATGCAGATCTCTATAGTAACTACTCCATTTAGCTCATGTAGATATAATTAAAGTGCACTATCAAATTTCATGTCTTATACTTTCTAGATAATGACGTGGAGTTATTATAAGAGCATAATGTGTCAGGACCGTCGCTGAGTAAAGCTCACCTTCCTGAAGACAAAAGCTTCTCCGTTGTAGACGGATTCAGCCTGTTGTTCATCACCGTCCTCGTGCGAAACTCTTTACGTGTCTGTCGGGAGGCTTCACGTACGTGCCGATCTTCTCATCCGACAGAAACTGGCCTGAAATCACCTGAGAGACCAACACTGGACTCACTTTCAGAGCATTTTCCAAAACAGCAGACATTTAGCAGGCGCTTTATGCAAAGTGACCCACAGTACACCTATTACAGTCACATTTTACATAATTAACATGCTTTATTGTCTTACTGTGGCGCTAACAAACCTCACTGCTAAAGAGGTGATAGAGATTCATTTAACCAAACCAGAAGTGTTATTATTCAGGTAATATGCTAAAAAGTTTGACTAACTAAAAGAGAACTGGGTCTTTCACTTGGTTTAAAGGAAGAATTCCTACACTTTTTAATTCATGAATGTACAAGATTTTTCCACAATCTTTCAAAAACAAAAGTCTATCAATAAACAAAAAAATAATAATTTAAATAAATACATTTAAATAGATTTACATAAATTAAAGAAAGAAAGTTAGAAAGAAATAAATACTTTGAAATAGATTTAAAAAAAAATGAAAGAAATACCTTTACATATATACATGTATGTATGTATATATATATATACACACACACACATTTAAATAAATATATTTTAAATATATTAAAATTTTATATTTAAAGAAGTATATTTAAATAATACTTTAAAGTATTATTATACATTTAAAGAAAGAAAATCAAAGAAACACTTTTAAATACATTTAAAATAATAGATTTAAAGAACTAGATTTAAAAGGAAAAAAAGAAAAATACTTTTAAATAGATTTCAATAAATAGATTTAAATCATAATTTTGAATATATACATATATGTATAAATAAATACATTTATATAGATTTACATAAATATATTTAAATAGATTTAAAGAAAAAAATATAGAAATACTTTTAAATAGACTGAAAGAAATACATTTTAAATAAATAGATTTAAATAAATACATTTAACTAGATTTGCATAAATAGATTAAAATAATAAATTTAAAGAAATGAATTTAAACAAATAATTTTAAAAAGATTTAAATAAATAAAAAAAACATTAATATATTTAAATAAATACATTTAAAGAAATGAATTTGTAGAAATTTAAATAAATTAATAAAAAACAAATAAAGAAATACATTTAAATAAGCAGAAATATATTTAAATTAATTTAGAGAAATATATTCTAAAAGATTTAATGAAATAAATAAACAAACAAACAAACAAACAGAGATATACACTAATGAATCATTCAGAGCCACTGACCGATTCTTTAAAAGAACCGACTCAAAAGAACAACTCACTCATAAATTGCAAGCAGGTTTTACTAAAAAACATACAGTATATTCACTGTAGAAATGTCTGCGCCTTTTGTGAGCCTGGAAAACAGGTTTTTCAAATATGTGCAGATTGTCCATGACCGCAGGAACCCTGTAAAATCACACCTGGATGCTCACTCCATCCACCGGCGTCTCTGAGAACGGGTCGAACATCCGATCGGGCTTCAGCAGATAGCTGTGAGAGTCCAGAGCAGAGTCGAGCTGGACCGCTTCCAGCACGGCAGAGCGGAGCCGTTCATTACAAGAGCTATTATCAGCAGTCACCTTAAAGCAATGATCCATTTAATGAAGTCTCTCTTGTCCCATATTTAATTTACACCGCTAAACATAACGCTAATGGATATAGCACTGCTTTGCCGTGATTAATGTGTTGATTAATATGTCTGGAGTTTTCAGTGTCTCACAGCGTGGATCACACATCAGCTCTTGATGAGAGCAAATTAACACTGACAACTGCTGCTGCTTTAAAGAAGAAATTAGGCAAAACGGCAAAAAAAAGATTATATTATGTATAATCTATTTTATGTGGGAAAATCATTTATATGATGCAATTATGTACAAACAAGTTATTATTAAGCCATAGTTTAGTAATTTTTCCCACTTTGATTTATTTATTCAAATGTATTTATATATATATTTACATTTCTGTATTTAGATTTAGATGTATTAATTTATATTTATTTATTTTAAATGATTGTATTTATTTGAAACACATGTATTTATTTACATATATTTAAATGTATTTCTATTTACATCTATGTAATATTATTTATTTATTTATTTAAGTGTATTTATTAAAAAAAAATGTTTTTCATAAAAAATGTATTTATTTGAAACAAATGTATTTATTTACATCTATTTAAATGTATTTATATATATTTACATTTATTTATTTTAATTATGTTAAATTAATTATTTATTCATTTCTATTTATATTCCATTTTTAATTTAAATTCATTTATTACAATTTATGTTTATTTATTTAAATACATTTATTTATATCTACATCTACTTATTTAAAATTACTGTATTTAAATACTAATTAAATACTAATGCATTTATTTAAATAATTTATTTTAATTTAATTAATTATTTAATATTTTTAAAAACCTTATCCAGTAATCACAAACAATTGGAAAAGGTCATGAATAATCACGGACATTCATTAGATAAAACATGTAGGATTTTTCCACAATTTTTTTTTTTGACCATTACAATTAAAGAAGTTTTTTTTTTTCTTCTTCTATGCAGTTAAGATTTCTATGCAAATGCACATTGCATATTAAATGATTTTTCCAAAATTTTTTTTTTTTGACCATTACAATTAAAGAGTTTTTTTTTTCTATGCAGTTAAGATTTCTATGCAAATGCACATTGCATATTAAATGATTTTTCCAAAATTTTTTTTTTTTGACCATTACAATTAAAGAGTTTTTTTTTTCTATGCAGTTAAGATTTCTATGCAAATGCACCTTGCATATTGCATGAGTAACACATTTTTCACAGAACAATTTTCCACAGGTTGGATGTGTACGGTCGGTCACGTGTTGATGTTCAGTTATTTTTGCCGTTTAGTTGCAATGAAGAAGTTTTAGAGAAGTGTTGAAGTTCTGAAAGTATGTTTTGATGAAGGAAACTTTGACATCCGCTCTTTGAGGCTTTATGAAGCGTTGTTTTCTCTGTAAGTGAAACTCATAATGATGTATTGTCGAGTGATAATTGTGTCAGAGTATCTGGTTCGTTTCTGAGCCGATGATGGTTCATTATTGCAATAGCTGTCAAAAACCTTGAGTAATAAATAATGAATGGAAGCTCAGCATATCCAGCTTGTCTAACGTACTCTATTTTTAATTTGATGTAAAACATTTTCAATTTCCTGTAACTTTTTCCCAGCACAGAAACTCTAAAGCTTCAAACACGATTAACAGCAAGTAAAAGGCATCATTTTCAGACAAAACTCTCGAAGTTAGTTGAGTTATTTGATTTATAGCATATAATTAGTACCATTAGATGATTTAAACTTACCCACATGAGCCGTTATATTCAAATTTCCCCTTGGTTGAGCTGCATCGCCAAATCTACAGAAAACAAATCAATACAGTTTCAAACTAAATACAAAGGACAAACTGTTAGCAAAAAGAAGCTTGATTTGTTAATTTCATACTTAGGGTTCAGTACTAAATGTCTGACATTTTATTTGCTAATAAATAAACTAATGCAATATAATAATATACATTTAATACATAAAAATAAATTCACTAATCATTTTTTTTTTACAATAAATTTAATAAAATAAATTCGATTAATTGATAATAAATTCACTAATAAAATAATAATAATAATAATACAATAATAAAAAAAGAAATTATATTACCATGCATTTTTTATATTTTAATACATGAATTTCTAGGATTTTGACATTTCACTTTAATTTGCTAATAAATAAAACAATTAAATATTACATTCAAAAAAATTAATAAAATAAAATTCACTAATAAAATAGTAAAAGTTGAAAATGGAATTAAAAACATGAATAAATTTAAAATAAATTGACTATTAAAATAATAATAATAATAATAATAATAAATGAATACATCCTGAAATTATGATACGACCATGCTTTTTTAATATTTGAATGAATTAATTTCTAAGATTCTGACATTTTTGACATTTAATTTAACAATAAATAGAACAATTAAATGTAATAAAATAAATGTAAAAAAAAAACAATTCACAAACAAAAACTGAAATGAAAATCTTACAAAATAAATAAATAAATAGAAAATAAATTCACAAGTAAATAAATAAACAAATCTATGATATTACCATGCTTTTTAAAATATATTTTAATGAATGATTTTCTATGATTTTGACATTTTAATTTAATTTACTGCAATAAAATAAATGTAATAAATACAAATAAATTCACTAATAATGAAAAAAAAAAAGTAAACTATGACATTACCATGCATTTTTGTCACATGGTAATATCATACCATAGTACAGTAGTACCTTAAAGAACCATCATAATACCATGGTAATCATACAGTACTGTACCATAGTACTGTCACAGCACACTCGGAAGAGCTAGTGAGTATTATTATGATTAAAGCTATAGTTTCTGTTTGTGAATGTGGAGTTTGTCATGTTGTTCTGGAATCTCCTCCGTGTCTGTTTTCAGATTTGTTCCTCTTTAAGTCAGATTCGTGTCGCCGTCTGACATCCTGACTGACACATCAAACTCTCTCCAGCAGACAGCGAGAGAACAAACCAACGCAAACACAGCCTGTCAGAGTCTCCACATGTTTTCACAGCACACAAAGCTCCTCAAAGTGGATTCCTGTTCAATATTTGAGCAGAATCACAGTACCAGGTGGATCAGATCGGCTGAAGGAGAGACGTCACCACAAAATCAAAAGACAGAAATAAGTATTATTGTCCATTTTGCTTAAAGACACAGTTCGCACACCTCTGACCAATCGATTTCCATGATTGTGACTATTATTGAGGTATTATAATGACCTTCAATATCAAATTTTTTGCTCTATTACAGGCCGAATTGTCTGTAGCCATTTAAAATTAGAGGCAACCACTGCATTCTAATCACGATCCAAACCAGTCTAGCTCCAACCCTAATCCCTCCAGGACCGAAGTTGCCCAGCCCTGATCCAAACAAAG